AACCTCTTCTATAGAAGAGGTTAGAACTGGCAGGAACCCAGCCCTGATCTACATAGAAGGAAGTAAACAGAGGGGTACCCCTAAATTCCACCTTAGGCCCCATACAGACCCTTCAACTGAGCTCTTTTGGGTACAATTCGTACATGATTCAGATGAGGGAATAGAAGGGGACTCGTTAAATTTGCAAATGACATGAAACTGGCAGGAATAGCAAGAGCACTTAGACTTAACTGCTTTACAGCCCTCTCTAAGTAGAGTCAGCCTATTGCCCCCAACAATCTGGGTCCTCATTTTACCCACCTCAGAAGGATGAAAGGCTGAGTCAACCTTGAGCCTGGTAGGATTTGAACTGCCAAATTGCAGGCAGCTGGCAGTCAGCAGAAGTAACCACTGTACTACTGCAGCTCAATAGCTTAGGCAAGATTTGGGGGGGGGGATTTTCCAAAGCACCTGAAGGCAAGACAAGAAACAATGGATGAAAACAACCTGGAGAAGCAATCTGGAACTAAGAAGAAACTTCCTGATAGTGAGAACAATTAACCAGTGAAATGGCTCACTTTCAGAAGTTGTAATGCTCCATCATTGTAGGCGTTTAGGAAGAGACTCTATAGCTATTTGTCTGGAATGGTGTAAGTTCTCCTACTTGAGCAGGACTAGAAGACCTCCAATGTCCCTTCCAACTCTGTTATTCTGTTAAGTTCTATTATTTCTGTTAAGCTTGAAATGCTGCACAATTAGGGTCAATTAAAACTCTCAAGTAAGTGTGAATAAATGCCAGGCTGACTCTCACAGAGATTGATATAAATATCTAAGAATAGGAGGTGGGAAATTTATCTATGCCACCTGTTCTATGCTTTCTGTAAAACCTACTATTGTGATATTTATCTTATGGTGACAACCTGCTTTGGCTGCTTCTTACCTAACATAGACTATTACCAACAAGCCTCAACCCTAACCCCAGAGAGCTTTGCCTTTGATGATATAGTTCTTCTCAGGATGGCCAAGCTTGGCAACTGGCCATATCAACCCTACTGAAAAATAACAAAACCCTTTAAAAATATATGAGGTGCAGCAAAGCTCCAGAATACCATAAGGAGAAGTTTTGCCAAAATGCCCCAAACAGCCAGGAATCCATCCAAACGGTGATGAGCAGGATTTTTCCTAGGACAGGTCAGTCTTCCCAATGATGGGTGACATCAACTCTCCTGGCACCTTGGTTCAATTCAGTAATCAGAGGGAATAGAAATCTCAAATAAATGATCGTTCTTCCAGTCAAAACCTGTCATTTCTGGAAAGAAGAAAAAGAGAGATAGAGATAGAGATAGAGATAGAGATAGAGATAGAGATAGAGATAGAGATAGAGATAGAGANCCCCCAAACCCCACTCCTCCTCTTCCTCCTCTCTTCCTCCCCCGCCCCTCCAGGACTAGAGGCTGGGGTAAGGCGCCCCGCGACTGTAGCCGTAATCGTAGGGCATCGACGGCGGAGGCGGCAGCGGGCAATCCGCAAAGAAGGGCGCCGTCGGATCCGAAACAGCGACGGCGGCGTAGAGAGCCGGCAGGGGCCGCAAGGGGGTCTCGGCGTAAAGCAGGGGCGCCAACGACGGCAGCGGCTCGTACAGCGGCGGCTCCAGAGGAAGCTCCGCCGGGAAAACGGGCGGCGGCGGCGGCGGCGGCTCGGAGGATTCCTGCAGCAAGGCTCGGTAATCGGGAGCCGCCAGCAGATCGAAGAGCTCTTCGGCCACCGACGGGACGGGCCCCGCTCCTCCTCCTCCTCCTCCTCCTTCCAAGCCGGCGGGGTTGGGCGCCCGGTTGGGAGCCGGCTCGGTGAAGAAGGAGCGGGGCAGGTTGCGGTTCCGCAAAGGGACCTTCTTGCAAGCGACCGCAGCCGTCGGCGGAGCGGAGCCTGCCTCTTTCCCGCTTGCACAGCCGGACGGCCCGGCGGGAGAAGCCGCAGTGGCCACGGCCGTCGGGGCTCCGCGCAGGGAGTCGAAAAGCGCCGCTAAGCTTTTGCTCTCCCGCTTGGCTGGCTTGCAGGAGGGAGCGGCGGCGGCGGCGCCACCACCGCTAGAGGGCGCCGGCGAGGCCGAGGCTTGCTTGTTCGTGGGGGCGGCGGCGGCGGCGGCCGGAGCGGGACTCGAACCTGGAACCGAACCGGCCCCTGGCTCCGCGTTGCCCCCGAGGAGGCCGGTGCAGCGCTTGATCTGCTTCTGCAGGTACTTCCGATGGTTGACTTTCCGCTTGGATTTGCCCGGCTTGTCCAGAGCCAGCTTGATGTTGCTCGACGCCGAGTCGATGAAGCTCAACAGCTCCCGGGTGGCTTCGCGGAAATCGGCCGCTTCGGGGCAACCGACGACGCCGCCTCCGACACCGCCTTCGACGCCGCCGATGCCGCTCGCCCCGACGCCGCCTTCCAGCAGCAGCAGCGCCGCCCCGTCGCCGTAGCAGCTCTTCTCCAGAGCCCCGAAGTCCGCCGTGGGGAAGCCGAAAGGGACGAAGGGGTGATGGGGAGGCGGAGGAGGCGCCGCCTGCACGGCCATCGCGGGGTGGGGTTGTTTTTTTTGGCTTTTACTGCGGGCTTCGGGCGGGAAACGGAGGCCGGCGTCGAGGGAGGAGGAGGAGGAGAGGAGGCGGCTGGCCGGATGGAGCCAGCATCTTCTTCCCGACGAGGCCTCCGGGGAGGAGGGAGTTTGGGAACCGGGGCCTGCCTGTTGCCGCCGCCGCCGCCGCCTCTGGCTCTGCGAACTCGGGGAAGCTGCGAGCGCTGGTGGCGCGGCTGGGTTGTTTTTTTCTCCCCACCCCTCGGCTTTCCCCTTGGCGGGCGGAGGAGGAGGAGGAGGAGGGAGGGGCTCGCCTGGGGCGGAGCGGGGAGGGGGCGGTTAACTCTTGAATGGCCTGGAGCGCCAAAGTGTGTGAGAGAGGGAGGGAGGGAGAGGAGTGTGTGTGTACGTGTGTGAGAGAGAGAGAATGTGTGTGTGAGAGAAAAGTGTCTGTGAGAGAGAGAGAGAGAGAGAGAGTGTGTGAGTGTGAGAGAGAATGTGTTTGAGAGATAGAAAAGTGTGTGTGAGGGAGAGAGATAATGTGTGAGAGAGAAAAGTGTCTGTGTGAGAGTGAGAGAATGTGTGAGTGTGAGAGAGAATGTGTTTGAGAGATAGAAAAGTGTGTGTGAGGGAGAGAGATAATGTGTGAGAGAGAAAAGTGTCTGTGTGAGAGTGAGAGAATGTGTGAGTGTGAGAGAGAATGTGCGTGAGAGATAGAAAAGTGTGTGTGAGGGAGAGAGATAATGTGTGAGAGAGAAAAGTGTCTGTGTGAGAGTGAGAGAATGTGTGAGTGTGAGAGAGAATGTGCGTGAGAGATAGAAAAGTGTGTGTGAGGGAGAGAGATAATGTGTGAGAGAGAAAAGTGTCTGTGTGAGAGTGAGAGAATGTGTGAGTGTGAGAGAGAATGTGCGTGAGAGATAGAAAAGTGTGTGTGAGGGAGAGAGATAATGTG